ACTGCACAACAATATATCAACTTTTGATGTCATCACGTGATGTTTACTAATTTGACGTCGCTGATTTCAAGTATACCCTCAGTTATTTTGTGACAGCTCTTGTTTACGAGATATAGCTTTCACGAAAAAATCGCTGTGTTAGTGTGTTAATTAGTTTGTAATTAAGAAAATATTAAGTTTTCTTAATATAATTTGATATGGCATCGTCAAGAAGAGTTTGTGTCAATGTACCAAATCATTTTTGTTTCATTTGCGGATAGTATACATTTAAAAAATACCGTTTGAATGTGACAGCGTTCATGATTGAGGCTTACAAAAATTACTTTGGTCACACACTAGAAATGAAAGACCAGTCTTGGATTCCGCGAAAAGTATGCAAAACCTGCGTTGAGTTTCTACGTTTGTGGACAAATAACAAAAGGAATAGCTTTAGGTATGATCTGGACTGAATCCTTGAACCACCACGACGACTGTTATTTTTGTTTAGTGAACATAACTTGCATTAACTGAAAAAATCGAGCCAAATGGGAATATCCTTCCATATGATCGGCACATGGAAGTGTTTTGAGTCCTAAAATATCACTTGAACCTCAAGCTGATGCTTCACAGGAGAAGCCTATGCATTTTGAGGCGAAAAGTGACAGTAGTGATAGTGACTTTGAATGTGACCTGAAAGCGCCAAAACTATTCAACCAAGATGATTTAAACGACCTTGTCAGAGATTTGGGACTGTCAAAGGCTGCTTTAGAAATTTTGGCTTCTAGGCTAAAACAAAGAAACTTAGTAACAAAAGATACGAAAATTTCTTATTACCGCACAAGAGAACAAAATCTCTCAAATATTCATTAAAAAATAAAACGCAATAAATCGCTCAAATATTTTGCTGAAGAAAATGATTTCGTATTTTGTAAAGATGTACCTGGTTTAATGGCTGCAATAGGACTTCAAAATTACGTTTCTAATGAGTGGCGTCTATTCATAGACTCATCAAAACGTAGTCTAAAATGTGTTCTCTTACACAATGGAAATAAATTAGGGTCGTTGCCTATTGCACATTCCACAAATGTAAAAGAAGAATATACAACTATTGCTCTGGTTTTAGACAAAATTAAATATGTGAAATACAATTGGCTCATATGTGTTGATTTAAAAATGGCCAACTTTTAGGCCAACAAGGTGGTTATACAAAATATCCCTGTATGCTTTGCTTATGGGACAGTAGAGCTAAATATCAACATTGGGTTAAAAAATGTTGGCCTCCTCGGGAAGGGCTAGTTGTAGGACAACAGAACGTGATAAACCCATCTTTAGTATCAAGGGATCGTATAATTTTGCCTCCGTTACATATAGAACTAGGAGTTGTAAAACAATTTGTAAAAGGTCTTGACAAAAATGGAAATTATTTCCTTTTCTTATCAAAAAAGTTTCCAAAACTGAGTGCAGAAAAGATAAAAGCGGGAATTTTTGATGGGCCACAAATAAGATCATTAATAAACGACTCAAATTTTACGGACACTATGACAGAGATTGAGAAAACGGCATGGAATGAGTTTGTTTGGCTTTTTAAAAATTTTTTGGGAAATAAGAAAATTCAGAATTTTCTCAATACGTCGAACAACTGATGAGTCACTTTCAAAGGCTTGGATGTAACATGAGCATCAAGTAACACTTTCTTCACAACCACCTGGACTATTTTCCCGCCAATCTTGGGTACCTAAGTAAAGAACAGGGCGAGCGATTCCACCAGGACCTTCATACCATGGAGGAACGCTATCAGGGCTACTGGAGCGCACATATTGTTGGAGCATTCAGAATAGCTCTCTGTCTTCAGCTTTAGCAAGAAAATCATATAAGAGAAAGTTTTTTTCATTATAAGAATTAAATAAATTAGAATTATCTCTAAATTTATAGTGTTTTATTATAAAAAAACACCCGTGTCATATTTTTTTAACTAGAGCTGTTACAGAAAATTTTAATCACGGAATTGAAATCGTCATCAAAAATTGGACTAATATCATGTAACATAATCCAATCATCAGAAATGCTGTTGTGCAGTGTTATTGATAACAAAATGTTAGATGAAATATCTTCAGATTCTATATTTGATTCCTTCATCCGTATTTAATTCGTCAACAGTTTCATTTGTTTGCTCTAAAGCTTTTAAATCTTCTGTAGAAAAGTCATCATGGGATTTTAGTAACTCATTTATGTCATCAACTTCTATATTTAAGCCAAGAGATGCACAAATTATCACAATTTTCTTTCCAATTTCTTCTGCTTCATCTACCGCTGCATAAATTTCATAAATAATTACTGGCATTAAATTTTTCTATGGTATACCTACCCTTATGGTATATTATAGATCATCCCATGATTTTACAACCAATTAACGCATTCCAAGATATTAAATTTTGTTTTCTAAAATTCTTTAAGAGCCATAGAATCATCAGCGTACTTCGCATAAAAAATCTTTGAAAACATATGGACTAGAAACATTCCGTTTAGCCATGCGTCTCTTAAGACGGCTGAACATGAATGTTTTTACTTTTAGGTCTAATGTTAGTTTTAGTGACAGTGCAATGTAGCGCTACTTAGCATAAGGTATCACAATGTTGTATATTTTCATTGAACCAAAACTAGAAGTAACACTATAACTAACACAAGACTTAGAACTAGAATCATTCGGGTATAGCCGTCTTGAGAGACGTGCGGCTAAACCCGAATGTTTCTAGATCTAGATCTAGTGTTAGTACTAGTGATAGTGCTAGTACAAAACTAGAACTAACACAAGACCTAGAACTAGAATTATTCGGATTTAGCCATTTTGAGAGATGTGCGGTTAAACAGGAATGTTTCTAGTTCTAGGTCTAGTGTTAATTTTAGTTTTAATTGTTATTCAGCGTTAGATTGTGGTATATTTTTGTTGAACGAAAAGTAGAACTATCACTAGGCCTAGAACTAAACCCGAATGATTCTAGTTCTAGGTGTTGTGTTAGTTCTAGTTTTACACTGGTTCTAGGGATCTAGTGTTCTAGTTCTAGGTCTTAGTTCTAGTGATAGTGCTGCAATAGCCTTCTTCTTCTGATTCTTATGCCTGACGGCGTCGGATAAATCTTTTCCTATTCCTCCATCCACTTCTTAAACACAGTCCGGTTGCTGGCTAATTCCTTTATATCTGCTAAGAGAGTCTTCCCTCTCTTCTTCCCAACTTCTGCTATTCTTTCCTCCCACTTCTTCCTAGGTCTTCTGCCGCAAGCCATGTCCGTTTTTATCTTCATCATTGCCTCTCCTAATTCTTCCATTGTTATCTCTTCAGTTGCTATGTCTGTAGTGTCTTCCATTATTTCATCTTCTCTTCTCTCCTCCATTGTTTGTGTCCGTTTTCCATCCTTGAACATTTCTGCATAAAAATCCGCCCATATCTCCAGAATTTCCCTTGTAGTTTCCTTTGATCTTCCGTTTTCTTATCCGAACTCTTCCCAACTTACTATACTTACTATGGCCTCCCTTACCATATTCTTAGCTACATCTCTGTTCATTCTATAGTTTGCTTTATCCTCTTCCGAATTCGTTCTTATGTCTTTCTTGCATAACTCTTTCTTCTTCTTGATTGCTTGTTGGACCTCTTCATTCTACCAGTGTGTTCTTTGTGTCTGATTATTATATTTTCTCATTCCACATACCTCCATAGCTCCAGTGTTAAATTCTGTGTTTGTTCTAGTTTTTGAAACTCGTTGTTTGTTTTTTCTTGGTATTTTAGTCTTTCTTCCTCCTTTCTTAGTTTATGGATGGTAGTTTCATTTCTTCTTTTTCGATTTCTATATTTGATTCGATTTTTATAGTTGCCATAACTAGTCTGTGGTTGGTTCCTATTTCTGCTTCTTCGACTCGAAATGTTAGTTCTAGTGACAGTGCAAGGTAGCGCTAGTTAGCATAAGATATTACTATGTTACATATTTTTATTAAACTAAAACTGGAACTAATTAGTTCTAGTTTTGCACTAGCACTATCACTAGAACTAACACTAGACCTAGATCTGGAAATATTCGGATTTAGCCGCACGTCTCTCAAGACGGCTAAACCCGAATGATTCTAGTTCTAGGTCTTAGTTCTAGTTATAGTGCTAGTGTAAAACTAGAACTAACACAAGACCTAGAACTAGAATCATTCGGGTTCAGCTGTCTTGAGAAACGTGTGGCTAATCCGAATGTTTCTAGATCTATGTCTAGTGTTAGTTCTAGTTTTAATTGTTATTCTGCGTTAGATTGTGGTATATTTTTATTGAACGAGAAGTAGAACTAACACTAAACCTTGTAGAATTGAGGTTGTATGGGGGAAGAAATTTTACAGAGTTAGGTTAGGATCATGACCATGCGCGTTATACAGTAATAATAGAGCTTTAGGTGGAGGTTTATTTTTTATGAGATAATCCTTTGCCATAGGACCAAAGGTGTTGTTTGTCCATTGGCTGAAAAGGTAGCGGGCAACCCAAGCTTTTTTATTAAATTGCCAGTTAACTCCCAAACTCTCTTTATTGATTTTTTTTGTTTTAAATACTCTAGGATTGGCAGAGTGATAAACAAACATAGGTTTTAATTTCATATCTCCAGAAGAATTTCCACCAAGACGAAGGGTTACGTTACATTTCATAGGTTTATGATCTGGAATAATGCGGTTTCATCGCAATTAAAAATTTGTTGGGGAGGAAACCGAAGAAACATATGATTATGCAATACATGTTACGCATTCTCGTAAGTCTAGTTATAACCTTTGATTTTAAACGTCTCGTAAGTAAAGCTCGTAAGATAGAGCTCTCGTAAGTCGGGGGTTTACTGTATGGGATCATTTTCTCAGTAATTCGGCTGATGATCGCCTATATAACCGAAATCGGCGTTTTAATTAATTAAAATTTATTAATCTTCAATTTAATTTCTGATATAAAAACTTTTTAAATTTGGAATTTAAACTTTCCCCTTTCACATTTTTTATTTTTATTGCAGATTCACCAAGATTTAGCGAGCCCCTTTTAAATGTCACGTCAGCAGTTGGAAGGGAGGCAATCCTTAAATGCGACGTTGAAAACTTGGGAGTGTTTAAAGTAAGTTTAAAATACTTTACCTGACAAAACAAAAATTGATTGCAAAATTAAGCCACAAAAAGTGACTTATTTTTGCATTACTACCATCGACAGGTACTTTAGGTCACTTATGGCCCAGCCGGATTAAACCGTATTGCGTCAACATTAAACGCATGCAAATTAAGAGCATGCGATCTACGACAACGGTATATAGGGTCAATCGCCTTATGCATATAGATTAAAAATCGTCCGTAAACGAAAGAAAAATATAAAAAAAAGTTGCTTTACTGTACAAGGTACGCTTAAATGCGTATGATTATACTCAATTAAACTCGATTCTACTCCATTATTACTCCTCCCTTCGCAAATTTAAACGTTATTAGTCAAATTGGTATCGTTTCAAAAACGACCACGCAAAAACCTTTTCTTTTTATTATGACAAATTATCAAATTCGATGTACAAAAAAAAATGTTAATAAGTTTTTGTGAATTTTTTATTTTCTAAATCTGATTTAAAAATTTAACAGCGACGAGAAAAAACTAACTAATTTAACATATCCCCAGAGAATTTGAAAAAACCAGTCGCAATTATAGTAAAAAGTAAGGCAATTAGCGTATGCAAATTTTACGTCTCCGTGCGCGTTTCAGTGGCGTACGGGTGCAATTTTTTGAAATAGAACGGGTTCTTTTAGAACGGTAACGGCCGTTTGCATTGGAGACGAAAAATATAACGTCGGCGCTAAATATAAAGTCTCCACCCCCTTGGTATATGTAAATTTTCTTTGCTGCGACTGCCGTTTGCGTTTAAGCAGATTGATTGTAGCCAATTTCAAAATGTCAGTATTTCCCCGTGTCGTTCTTGTTGTCCTCCCCCTTACTTTGGAAAGGTTACGCGACGTGTAAAAATCCATTTATAATGTCACCGGGACCGGAAATAATAATAAACCGATCTATATTAAAGTTCAACCAAATTCATAAAGACAATTTTGATGTTTTAGTCGTTAGCAAATTAAAGAAGGTGAGTTTACTGATACGGAAAAGCAATAAACCGGTGTATTTCTTTCGCGCGCGAAGTAACCGTATGTGTTACGGTCTCGGAAACTGTTTCCCTCTGGGGACTCGTTCGAGGGATTTTACGTCCGCCAACGTAACGGTCCAGATTTTACGACGAACCGACGTACGTTTCGGCAAACAAGCCCCTTCTAACTTTTTTTGCGTTCAATTTGCCCGAAAAACTAATTACCTGCCATACCCTTTCATAAAAAAAGGGCACAAAAAAGGATGCGTTAAGAGTCTAACGAGGGGTGCAACCGACAACACACTAAAAAACAAAGTATAAACACTCGAGGAAGAAGGAAACTGCGCGCAGTATTTGCGTACATGCTCTATTATCGCGTTGTAACAGACAAATCCACCCTTAACTTGGCTAGAGAATGTACAAAAGAGGGGGAGACGGCGCCCTGGCTGCTGAAGTGAACACACAATTAGGCTCCGTCCACAATAGATCATGTTCTGGAGTACGCGCACACTTATCTCGTCTACTGTTTAAAGTGGAACTTGGAATGAGAGAAAAGGGGGGTTGCGAGGGACAGGAGAAGAAGGGGTGTCCTCGAGAAATAGGGAAGAGACGGCGACGCCGTTCGTGATATCGTATCTATTACTATTGCCCCAGCGGTATTGCCATTGCGGACTGAGCAAATAAGATATAACCGGAGCAGTGGAAGCGATGCCTTGTTTAGTTTCGATTCAATTGCCTCTTCAAGATAAATTTACTTCAACTTTTATTTACTTTTTTATTTATGATTTGAAACTTTGAATATGTTTTCTTTTCTACGAATTTATTGGATTTCAAATGCAAATACGATTAGTGTTATGTAGTTACTGAACATATATAAAAAAAACTCACAAACAACAGACGACATCAAAGATGAAAGCACAAAGAAAAGCATTAAAAGAGTATCATTATAACATGAAGCAGTCATAAAGAAAGAAGTGACAAGAGAAAATAAGTAAAAATAATAAAAATGGATAACCTACAACAACCTGAACAGTTGTGTATGGCTCAAAATTGGTTCATGTTTCAGGATAACTTTGAGGTATACTCGTTGGCAACAGGGTGTATAAAACAAGAACTGAAGGTAGAAGTCGAAGTTTTTCTTCACTGTATTGAATGAGAAGGAAGAGAAATCCACAAAACGTTCGAATATGCAGCTACAGAGGATATAGACGACATAAAGGTTATAAAAAAGAAATTTCATGAGTATTACTTACCGAAAACTAATGTAAGTTTGGAGTGGCATAAATTTAATGCTAGAAAACAACAAATAGACGAAATTATTGAAAAATATGTAGCAGATCTAAGAAAAATTACACAAAATTGTAAATTTTGTGACTTACGTGATGAACTAATTAAGGATAGAATAGTTTGTGGAATATCTTCATTGGTATTGAAAAACCGATTATTAAGAATGGAAGACATAACACTACACAGAACGATTGATATAATCAAAGCACAAGAGCAAACGGAGAGAACAATTCTAATACTACAAGATGCGAATACGGAAGACAAGAAGATAAATAAAATACAAATCAGTAAGACAAGAAGAGACAACAGTGAGGGTAGGCGCACATAAGCACACAGACGCAGGGCAGGAACAGTGCAGAAAAACTGAACGTGCGCGTAGTTACGCAGTAGAGAGCGCATATTATAATGCAGTATTTTACTATCTGTGCAATGGAAGACACCGATTTAAGCTCCGATTCGGATTTAGATGCGTTAATAAATTGTACGTTATTATATGCAGCTACAAAACTCAAGAGAAAAAAAAGGATATGGAAAAGCAGTTATTTACGAAAGCGTGAAACTCATGGAGAATTTCGTTTGACTTCAGAGTTTTCAGATGACCAGTTTACAAATTATTTCCGAATGAATCGTATGCAATTTGAAGAAATACACAATACTATTCAAAACAAAATCTATCATGAAGGCAGCCGTGCACATAAAGAAATAACAACAAAAGAAAAACTAGCGGTATTTCTAAGGTAACTTTTTATTGGTGAAAATATTTTATTAGCGATATCTCTATAATAAACAAAAAACTTGTTCTGAGACATTATCATGTAAATCGGAGGTTTCTTGTCGAAGTGTTGATCTAGGTGTAATTTCAGTTGAAGGATAGTCAAAGGATTCAAAGGAAAATTGAGTTGAAGATGAAGTTTGTGGTGTGGGTACTGTAGAGGGTAAGGATTCGACGGGTTGAGGTTGGGATAACGCACAAGGACTAAATGGTAAATTTAAATTTTCTGCTTCAGAGGCAGATACAATACCAAATATTTTGCTTTTTACAAGATGTTGTAAATGAATTGGGAATCGCTTGGTTGTTTCGTACATACTCATAAAAAAATGGTACAGTTCGTCATTTTTTTCGATTTCAACTCTTCGCTTTCTATGCATATCCCTTTCCATACTTCGATGCTCTTGACGTGCTAAAGAAGCTTTAATTAAATCAGCAACATCACAGCCTTTTTTTCGTTTAGGTTTAGGTGCAGTTGTGAGCGTTCTGTGCACTTCTGCTTGGTCCTCGTCATTCTCTCCTTTTTCTTCTGTGTTTTCAATTTCAACTTCTTCTTCTTCAGTCTGTTCATTATCAAATTTATCTTCTGTTACATTGGTTTCTCGTGATCTATTTTGCATGTGCGCCAACAAAAATTCCATCTGTTTTTGATATTTCCATAGTTTGACACTTTTACCTCCTCCAGCACCGCTTTTCGGTTGTCCGTTCTTCTGCCTTCTTAAGGCGTCACGGTGACAATTACGTAATTTTGTCCAAGCATCTTTCGCTTCTTCACCTGTTAAATAAAGGTACGCTATTGAATACTTTTATATTTCAGATATTTGGCGTCAGGGAATAGTTATAAAAGTATTGGATATAGCTATAGATTAGGAGATCGCACAGTATCTAAGATTGTGAATGAAGTATCAGCGGCTATATGGGAATGCCTGCAACAAACTTTCTTACCGGACCCCACAGAAGAACTGTGGAAACAAATTGCAAAGGAGTTTGAGCAAAGATGGCAATTTCCACATTGTGTGGGATCGATCGATGGCAAACACATAGTGGTCAAGAAACCGGCCAAAAGTGGATCTTCTTATTTTAATTATAAACATACTTGTTCTATAGTACTAATGGCAACTGTAGACGCAAACTATAAATTTATTACGGTAGATATCGGGTCAATGGGACGATTTAGTGATGGGAATATATTTTCTAGCAGCATACTATACAAGAAAATACAAAACAAAACTCTTAAGCTTCCGGAACCAGATATGATTAGCGGTGGTGAAAAAGAATTGCCTTATGTTTTTGTGGGGGACGAGGCTTTTCCATTACTAGAAAATTTAATGAGACCTTACCCCAAAAGAAAAGTTACAGCGAATTATGAAAATAAGGTATTCAATTATAGATTATCGCGCGCACGACAAACAGTAGAATGTGCATTTGGGATACTAGCTGGGCGATTTCATGTTTTTAGAAAACCATTTGAAATCAAACTTGCTAGTGTTGATAATGTTGTTAAGGCAGCATGCGTTTTACACAATTACCTTAGAATGACTAGTACTGCTACAAATGTGGAGGATATTGCTGATGAAGAACTCCTCTCCGACCAACTAACTTCAATACGCTATAATAACTCGCGAAATTCAAGAAATGCTTTCTTAGTACGTGAAAATTATACACACTATTTCAATACTACAGGTGCTGTACAGTGGCAAAGAGATAGCATATTACGAGGAAAATATTAAACACATTTACAAAAAGAACATATAAAGTTACTTATAATAAGTTACTTATAATAAGAACATATAAACTATTTTCATACTTACCATTGTTTAGTTTTAATTCTCTTGCAATATTTACCCAAATTTCATCTTTAAGTTTAATTTTCATATAGTCAGGGTTATTTGTATTATATAATACATCATAGTTCCGTACCATTTCTATTAATTTTTCGCTGATACTCATTTTCACTATTGACCACTACTTACATAACCTTAAATATTAAGATCATAAACATTACAAATCCCTCACGTGTCGCTAAAATCTGTGTATCGTTTACTGCGCCACACGTTTCTGTCTCGCAAGTTACTGTTCTACCCTGTACTGCGTTGTAATATGCGATTTCACGTCAAAATGTACTGTACACAGATTTCTACCCTGTACTGCGCTGCGTTGCCTGTGTCGCCTGGGTCCTTATGTGCGCCTAGCCTGAATGTGGAGGATCCAGACAACATAACAAGCACACAACAGGAGAACTATGGATGAAGAAACCATGGAACACGAACAAAAAGCAGAAACCGAATAACTTCCAACAACAAAAAGAGGCTCATACCAACTAAATAAGAGATTGTGGAGGATGTGGATGCATGTATTGCCTTTTTTCTCGATTGATCCTATTCTGGAATCGTTTTATCTTATTGTTGCTAACAGGATTGAACAAAATCTCCTCTCTGAGTATTATTTAAGGACGATCAGATAATAAGATTAGGTTTTTTATCCATTTCACCTTTTTTGGATTATAATATGAGAGACATTTAAACAAAAATTTGTACATAAATATAACTTAGAGGTTACTACTTGACGTAAGTCCATATATCCAATTTTATTAAATAACACTTAAAACTTTATTTTTAATCATACAAACTTGTAACTTAATTATAATATGTTTTATTTGTTAATTTTTGTAGGTTCTAATTCTACGAAGGGCTTGTGCCCGAAACTAGTTTAGAGAAATAAACATTTGAAAAATCATCACCAGAGTATAATTTGTTCTTTGATCTCTCATATTATGATCAGATAATAATTCCTAAATCTTTGAGAAAGAAAATACTTGATAAATTAAGTGTCAACTTATCTTGATTATATAAGTGTCAAAAAATTTTATACATGTGCTAAATATCAATCAAATAATCCTAAAGAACATATAACAAACAGAGAATTATCAAAACCACCTTGGCAAAACTTTTCAGCTCATTTTTTTCAATTGAAAAATAGAGAATTCTTGCTAATTGTTGACATGTACTCCAAAAACTCGGAAGTAATTTCTTTTAATGATGGAACAGCAAATTACGTAATAGAAGTGTTTAAAAATGTAATAGCAAGGGATGGAATCCAGAAAAACTGTATACAGACAATGTTTCACAGCTTACCAATAGCCTTCTTTTTCTTCTTCTACTGATCCTTATGTCTGATGGTGTCGGATAAATCTTTTCCTATTCCTCCTTCTTCTTAAACTCCCTCCGGTTATTGGCTAATTCCTTTATATCTGCTACAGTCTTACCTCTTTTCATCCCAACGTCTGCTATTCTTTCCTCCCACTTCTTCCTAGGTCTTCTGGCGTAAGCCATGTCTGTTTTTATCTTCATCATTGCCTCTCCTAATTCTTCCATGGTGATATCTCTTCAGTTGCTATGTCTGTAGTGTCTTCCATTATCTCATCTTTTCTTCCCTCTTCCATTTTTTCTGTCCATTTTTCATGCTTGAACTTTTCTGCATAAAAATTCGCCCATTTGTCCAGAATTTCCCTTGCAGTTTCCTTTAATCTCCCTTTAGTTTTCTTACTTGATTCCAGAATTTCCTGTTATTCGATCCATATGTTTTACTTAAGTTTGTTCCGAACTCTTCCCAACTTTTCTTTTTCGTCTCCCTTACCATATTCTTAGCTACATCTCTGTTCGTTCTATAGTTTGCTCTATCCTCTTCCGAATTCGTTCTTATATATTCCTTCCATGACTCTTTCTTCTTCTTGATTGCCTGTCGGACCTCTTCATTCCACCAGTGTATTCTCTTTGTCTGATTATTATATTTTCTCATTCCACACACCTCCATAGCTCCAGTGTTAAATTCTCTGTTTGTTTTTTCTTGGTATTTTAGTCTTTCTTCCTCCTGCATTAGTTTATAGATGTTTATTTTCGTGTAGGTTTTCATCTCTTCTCTTTCGATTTCTATATTATTAATAGTTGCCATGACTAGTCTATGGTTGGTTCCCATTGCTTCAGTCTTTACCTCTTCGCTTCTATTTTGGAGATTCCGAGTGTATGTGATGTAATCAATAATACTACTAGCATTCCTTTCTTCCGCCATAAACGTATATTATCTTGCCTCCTCCAACTCCACGTGTTTCCTATCGATAAGTCGCCTATCAGCGTGACGTTACCATCACCAGCAGAATTACTTTTTGGAGGAAAAATTAAAACAAAATTACCAATTTCAAGTAAGTTACTAGAACCTCATAAGGACTATACAGAACTATTAAAAGAAAATCAAATAAAACAAACTAAATATTACAACAGAAGTTATAAGGATTTAAAGGAACTAACTCCTGGAGTACATGTAATGATATAGACTGAAGTCTATTGGAAACCAGCAACTATTGTAAAGAAGGATAATAGAATTAAATCCTATTTATTAATAATTAAAAACCGTAATGAAATCATAACAATCAGAAAATATTTGAATTCTTTTGAAGGAAAATTAAAGAATGAAATAATCGATGAGGATGACTTCGATGCTTTAACGTAAAATGAAAAAATCTATGATTTCGCTTGATTAGACAAGAAATAGATGAGTTTGTTTGACATAAACATAGTTGAAAAGTCTATGACTTCCCCTTCCCCTATGACTTCACACATTGCAGCGCCTCGGCTGCAAACAACCTCGGCTAATCTTAACGTGGATAGTTTGTGATATCGCCTGGTTAAGATGAGATCATTGATGACCAAGAGGTTAGAATTAATACTAATAGCGCATCTGCTTTAAGATACCGCATTTGAAGTAAATCTAAAAGGGACACAAATTAAATGCAATACAATATCTATGTTATAAAAACAGATAAATTGTTTTAAAATGAAAATGATAAATTTTTGTGAATTAATTCTGTAAATTACAGCAATATACAATACAAATAGTGAAATAGTTCATTCGACATCTGTTGATAACACCAACCAAAATATATGAAAAATGTACTGGCAAAGTCGTATTTTATACGACAGTAGGTGTACAGTTATGGGACCATATATCCTGGAGCAAATATTTGCGCTATGTTCTCCGTTTTCTGCTCACTTCCGGCGCCTCCGCCTAAATTTATTATAAGTCGTTTAGAATACGTCTGTCGTCGAGGAAAACCGGGTTCTGCGCGATAAAGAGAGAAAGGACGATAGTTAAAACCGTCGCCGTTTACCACGACAATAATACCACCACAGAGAGTTGAACGTGTTCTACGGCTTTACTTCAAACCCCTTTCTACTACGGTGGTGGAAATGTTTATTTTCCGATGACGGCGGCGTTGTGGCGAAAACTCTTATTATTCCTCCGAAACGGACCCTGTTATTTCGCTCCGCTAAGGTTTCCCCAAATTAAATAGCCCCTATAAGGGCTCCTCGCTTCGAAGGGGCCGTAAATAATAAAGTCTCGCGGTCTGTTTACCCCAACAATACGCAAACGGCAACTCGACACAATCGAAATCAATCCCATTTTAACCCACGCTTTCGACTCCCTCCCTTACCTTTTCACTTCTCTTCGCCGGTTTTGTCCCCTCTTTACTTTTAAATATTAATCGCATAATAAATCCTCATCGAATTTATCTTAGCGTGAAAAAAAAAATTATTTAGCAATCTTATTAGAACCTAGAAACGTGCGTGGACTCGTTTATATCTTTTCGATACCAACCTCATTTTGACCTGACACGAACGAACTGCGAAAATAACAAAAAAAACTTTTTTCTTTTCTTTCTTTTAGATCGATAAGAGAAATATTTTTGTTTTAGGTTGCGTGGCTTCGAGTCGACACCCAAACGATTCTCACCATCCAAACTCATATCATCACTAAGAGCGTACGCATTGGAGTTACGCGAAGTGAACACAAAACTTGGTATCTTCATATTAGGGAGGTTAAGGAGACGGATCGGGGGTGGTATATGTGCCAGATTAATACGGATCCGATGATTTACCAGATAGCTTATTTAGATGTTATTGGTATTGATAAATTTAATTTAATTAAATTAGTTTTAAACATTTTTTTTTGTTTAAAGTTCCCCCCGATATAATAGATTACCAAACGAGTAATGATATCACAGTCCAAGAGGGATCTAATGTAACCTTAAGGTGCATGGCGAAAGGTTCTCCAAATCCGACGATTCTCTGGAGGAGAGAGGATGGTCGCCCGATCCATTTAGGTCAAAATCACGAAGGTACTAGACACAATAAAAAAGCTACTACTATACTTTACATTGGTTGTACGATATTTTCGTTGCAGTGAACAGCGTGGAAGGACCGGTGTTGAATATCAACAAGGCGAGCCGTCAGCAAATGGGCCCATACTTGTGCATCGCATCGAATAAGGTACCTCCTTCCGTCAGCAAGAGGATACACCTGACGGTGCAATGTAAGTCGCGAGCTTTCCTAGACTTTTCGAACTCTCGAAAGTCGAGTAAAGTTTCGGGGAAGTCTTAGTAACTTTTAGCTCGGCTAATTGCTTGATATATGTCTCGGAGGCAATCAGAATTTCGCGAGTATCTTAAAGTTCTATTAGATGGGTGTATATGTGTATTTAAATTTTGAATAATCGACTATGTGTGTTTAATATCTTTGTAATTGCATGCTCCTAACAATGTCGATTAGCGAATTTAATACGAGAGCGCGCTTTGAATATTGTATGAGGATATAGACTGACCTCCCCCCAACTCTGTTTCTATCTCTATATATTCTATCTCTTGTGCGAACTGCATTCGATACAAAGCTTCGTACAATGTGATTTTCGAATATATGTACGATTAATAATTCTAGTTCCCCCCGCAATTTGGATCCAGTATCAGCTGATTGGTGCCTACGACGGACAGCAGGTCTCGCTGGAGTGTCAATCCGAAGCTTTCCCAAAGTCAATCAGCTACTGGACAAGAGACAAAGCGGACATTTTAGCTTTCAGTTAGTCGAACAATGTTTCGGTACACCCTGGAGATTCTATTTACAGATCGTGATCGAATTTAATTTCAGACGATAAATACGAACCGATCATCGAGCACACCTTTTACAAAGTTTTCATGAAACTCGTCATCAAGAAGTTAGAAGCTACCGATTACGGAATATACAAGTGTGTTTCCAAGAACTCCCTCGGCGAAACGGACGGCACGATAAACGTTTACAGTAGGTTTTATTCTTGTATTGATCGAATCCCGTAATTTTGCATGAAACGTATTGATTTGTTGTCTGTTTCTGTACGAAATTTCTAGGAATTCCAAAGCCCACAATGTCCAATAAGAACATCTATAATAAAAGTAAGTTCTGATTCAATATAATCTTTATTAAGCTAAATCTAGAACTAACACTAGACCTAGTCTTTTGAAAAAATGTTTGATGTTTTCTGATGCCATGTCCTAACCTTCCTCAGAAACAAGTTCAAAGTGACGAAATCGGCTAAAATTTGATAATAAATACATGAAATGATAATTAATAACTTATTAGTGTCTATTGTCAAATAAGTTGTCTTTGATGTTGTCTAAAATCATCTAAACTCTCTAGTCCTTCAGCATTCAAATTTTTTAATAAAAATAGGTTAATTTTACGGACTTGCTCAATTTTTGCGTAATTTCATCCTATGACCACCTTTCTCAATAATTTTTCTTTCCAGGTCAACATTTTTGTAACGTTATCTGTTAGAATTCTATTAAGTACACTTTTTGCAAGTAAATCAGTTGTATGACGGCTACAAGTGCTGTGCCAGACAACATGTTTTAACATACCACCAATTTTTATCATTACAGAGGCACTATCTGATACAATGGCATATACTTCCGCAATGAATTTTTTTTTGGCTAATTTGGTGGCAGAAATTACTATGTCGGAAAGTTTCTCACCTGTGTCCGGTTCCCATGATAAATCCCATACATTAACTAAAGCTTTGTTGCAATTAGCATTATGCAACATACAAACAACTGTTTTTGTATTACTGGATGTATTTTTCCATCCATGCTTGTAAATATTGTCCAGCAAAGTTGTAGATAAAATTGTTCTAGAAGGAAGCCTATACGCGGGTCGTAACTTATTTACAAAACTTTTAAAATGGTGCGAAAATGGTTCTTCATGAGTATCCAGAGTGTCAACGAAATTCCTAATAGCTGCATTACCTTTAGTTTTTCTTGTATGTAAAGTATTCTTGAAATGTTTTGGTGTCATTGCAGTCGTGGTAGCTAAGGAAGTTGGATTTTTACGTAAAGAAATAGCAGTTTCTTCACTACATGAGGTAATACTTGGTAGTGAAATACTGCTGTGCACGTTTTGTTAGAATTAGGAACTTTATTAACTAAATTTAGTTGTCCATCATCCGCAACTAAAAATTCTAACATCTGACAGTCACTATTTTCTGCATTATCAGGATTACTGACTTTATAATCAAACATGTTAGTTAGACTTGCATAATCCAAATTATTGACAGAATCTGTTGTAAACTTTCCAGCAATGGTTAATTGTCGAGTGTGCTGTTTACACACATTTCTAAAAAAAGAAACACAATAGCATTGGAAATTGAAACAGCTAAACTCACGATATATTTCGGAAAGTCTACTTATTTCCAGTAGGATACTAACCTGTGCGATTTCAATCGAGCGACTGAATTTACTACAAGTGTCACAATTCGCTAAAAATGTATGCCTGTTATCCTTGATTAGCATTAAATCTCATTCCTCTAATACTTTACTTCTTTTACGTCCTACTATACCAAATGTTATGTATACTCTCTTATGTACTACTTTCTAGACTCACTTCATAACTTAAGAACTAGGTTAACTCGAAGACTCTAAGACTGTTAAGACAGGAAACAACTAACGGCATTCGCAACAGTAAGCTCAGAGCTCCATCACTGCTCCATAGTCCTGATGGATTCTACAAAATGTGTGGAATCTCTGACATATGACTGTATTTTACCTGTAAAAGGAGACAGAATCTTGGCAAGGTGTTTTGCTAGCTGATAGACGGGAGAATTTATGGCACTGACAATATGGCGTAGTGAGACCTCTGGTTTATGAATTTTAGGTAATCCATATATCTTTGGAAGTACTCGGGCTTGTACGAATAAACATTTCTGTTGTTCTGCTGGGATTCCTGTGGATTTTACCAGTTCTTTCATCGTCCTTACTATCTTCTCGGTTGGGTTCTTTTTTATCTTTTTATAGGTGATTGCGTTTAAAAGGCTCCGTTTAAATAAATCGTGTACAACAATCTGCAGTCTGCAATCTGCAATTCTCAACAACAATTTTGGAAACAATTTTATAAAGATTACCTCACCACTCTTCAACAAAGAGGCAAATGGCATAGAGACACCGCGGATCCAGAAGTTGGTGATATTGTATTGGTAAAACAATTAAATTCACCGTCACAACATTGGCCATTGGGACGAATTATTAAATTCCACCCTAGCAACGACAACAGAAAAAGGGTAGTAACAGTTATGGTGAATGGAAAGGAATACCTAAGAGCAGCGGCTGATATCTGTCCACTACCAGGTTTGAAGGATATTGAAATCAATCCTTTCAAGGCGGGGGAGAATGTTGAGAAGTACTAAAATAATATATTTGTTACCAAGGACAGTAGAATCTAACAGGACTGCTACATGCATTGTATTTTTGTAGCCCGCTACGGGTTGGTTGCCCGCAGTCTACGTCACAGTATTTGCCACGCCTGGTAACTCTCTGTGTTTTTAGAGGTTATATGATAGACATTAATACGTCTAAAAACATAAAACTTCAAAAATAATAGGAATACGTCTAGGATATAACCTTTAAAAATACACAGCAAACGCATAGACCATAACAACAGCTGGGCGTGGAAAATGGTGTGACGTAGTTTGCGGGCAGGTTGTCACAACAATGGATGTAGCAGTCCTGTTAGATTCTACTGTCCTTGATTTGTTACTATATTTTTCATCTTTTGTTTTGTAAATAAATAAAATAACAATTCTGTCATCTGTCCAGAATAATAAAACATTCATAAAAAACGTAAACAAATAATCGAGTTTATATAGAATAAAAACCAATTCTTAGACCATACATTGGTCCCAAACACAGAGCATTGCTACAAAGGAGGACACATCATAGAGTTTGACAAAACCAAAGTGCTAGCAAGAAACGGACATTACTTGCAAAGATTGTCGAGAGAGACACTAATAAGTTATTAATTATCTTTTCATGTATTTATTGTCAAAATTTAGCCGATTTTGTCACTTCGAAGTTGTTCTAGTGACGAATCTTCTTGTTGTTGGTCTAGTGTTAGTTCTATTTTTAGTTCAATAAAAATATACAATAATCCACTAGATTGCATAATAATTAAAACTAGAACTAACACCAGACCTAGAACTAGAAAAATTTGGGTTTAGCTTAAGGTGACCATACGTCCCGGATTGGCCGGGACAGGCCGGGAAGCAATATTTGTCCCGGATTCAGGTTTTTTGTCCCGGATTGTCCCGAATTTTTGAAAAGGTTCTTATTTTCAATATTTATTCTAAAAATTTTTCAACTAGAATTATTTTGACAAAATTTGAACCGAAAAAATTGTGCATATCAAAATACGCGGCACGTTTTAAACCATTTAAAGCATACAGTGAACTTTCGATTCTGCGAATACCCTTCCACCTAACGCTCAGAGACACGATAGCGTTGAAGCTGGAACCCAGTGCTTCGTTACACATCGTGTATCTGAGCGTTAGGTGGAAGAGGAAAAGCAGAATTTTGCTAGTTGGACAGTATGGAGAGATCTCCTTAGCCGTCAGGTTTTTGTCAGTTTAAGGTTAAGTTAATATTCAGTTTGTGATTTTTATTTGCTTTTGTTGTAAGGCAAGTTATTCAATTAATTTTTTTTCATAAATAAAATAGTGTAAAATGTACATTCAATGAAGAGTTACAAAAAGAATATCCTGGTATAAAAAAAACGATTAGCGATTCTTATGTCAGGTGCAACATATGCGCTGCAAATTTTGCAATCAGTCATGGTGGATGTAACGATATTAAAGCTCATTTTATCAATGGGAAACATCAAAAATCAGCTTCTGTTGTTTCATCGACCTCGTCTGTAACAAACTTTTTAAAATATGAAAAAATGGGTCCTAAAGAAGAACTCTTAGCCGCAATCGAAGGCACTTTTGCGTACCATACTGTTTGTCACAATCATAGTTTTAGATCTATGGATTGCACATCCAAATTGTTACAAACAACTCTGAAACCTAAATCTTCGTGTGCACGTACTAAAGCGGAAGCAATTATAACTAACATTTTTGCCCCAAATATTTTAAATATATTGCACTGTAACTTAAAATAGTGCATATTTGTTTCTGTACTAACTGATACATCCAATCACAAAGAAATAAAGCTATTTCCAGTGTTAGTAAGATATTTTGACTGGAAATCTGGAATTAAAGTAAAAATTTTTGAACTGAACTCATTGCAAAACGAAACGTCCGATACAGTCAGTAATTATGTTGCTGATTGCATAATAAAAAATAATTTGAAAGAAAAAGTTGTTGGACTTTGTGCAGACAACACAAATTCTAATTTTGGCGGAGCGAATAGGAAAGGGCGGAACAATGTTTTTATCAAATTGCAGCAAAAGCTGAACCATAATTTGATAACAAAAATAATATTACAGATTTTAATACTACCATAAAACATATTGTTTCACAAAATTACTGCTGCTTTAATAATGAATATTATTCACTCTCAGATGGTCTCCCAATCGGGATGCCATTGTCGGGCCTCTTAGCGGAAATTTTTCTAGATAATATTGAAAATAACCATATCATTAACCAAACTAATCCTTTTTACAGACATATTATTTCTTGGAACAGATATGTTGATGACGTTTTTTGTGTGTGGAATGGCAATAATTTACATAACAAGCATAACAACCTTAAATTTACTATAGAGATGGAAAAAAACAATACTATCACCTTTTTAGATCTAACTTTAATTAAAAATGATAATGGGTACATTGAGTATGATATCTACAGAAAGCCTTCCTCTATTTCTACCACCATTCCATACACTTCATCACATCCTAATCAACATAAGTTTCTCATTAATAGAATTTTCGATTACCCTCTCTCTGAAAGCAACAGAATTAAAGAATTTGATTTAATTTTTGATTTAGCCCTTGATAATGGTTTCCCCATTGGTAAGGTCACTCATTTGATTAATAAGATACGTATACAAAAAGATCCTTTATTCACAAAATATAACACTGATTCTTTAATTTATAAACCTCTACAATTTAATGTTTTAACAGCCAAATTTCACAAAATATTTTCTAATTACAATATTAAAATAGCTTTTTCAAATCGTAACACTATTTTAAATTTATTAACTAATCACACTAAAAAAGTTTTTGATACTTTTAATGAGAGCGACGTATACCTGGTCAAATGCTTTAATTGTGAGAGTGTATACAGGGTGATTCACATAAGAACCGACACAGAACAGGGATATGTAGAGGACAATAAATTAAGACGATTTAACACAATTTATCTCTATACTAACTTGTACCCCTGAGGAGTTATAGGCCTTCAAAGTTGGGTCTTAAATATTTAAAACATTGAATATCTTCGTAATACATTATGTTAGAAAAACCAAATTTGGTATACGTTATGAGTGTACCGAGGGTATTAATTGGTAGCAAGTTGAGACCAATTGAGGCATTTGAAAGGGTTGATTACGGGTGATGGTCCCCTAAATTTTGACAGATTTTTTTAACCTTTTGGTGGATTTAACAGATTATTACCTGATTTCATGTGGAATTTAATTCTAAAACTTTTTCTACTCTTATTATTTTTTAAAAAACATTGTCGTTTTCATAATTTCAAATGATTATACCTGTTGGTTTCACTTTTTGACAGTGAGTATTTTGTTTGTTTTTATATATTTTTGTATTTTATAAGATAGATTACTTACAATATTTCTCACTTTTGTATAGTTTTCGGCTGAGGATGAAGTTGTAAACTTAGAAACCGGTCCCGATTAAAATTAAATAATTTTGCAAGTGCGAAGTTCACATATTTCGTTTTATTTTCATATTCAAATTTCATAATTTAATAGGAGTTGTTTTTTTTTTCACAATACTGTTAGAACAGCTGCCGATATTTTACCGATTGACGTTGAATTAATTGTTTCGAAATTATATTTATATTTCAAGTCTTACACTGTTAGAGTGGAAACTCTAAAACATTTTTGTAGCTTTGTTGAAACAGAATTTTCAATGTTATTGGGCTACTCCCAAACAAGGTGGCTAGCATTACTGCCAGCCATTGAAAGAGTACTACAAATGTTTGCGCCCTTACAATCTTATTTTCAATCGCAAGAAAAATGCCCTGTATTTTTTTCAAAATTTTTTGATAATCCTTTTTCTGAAGCTTGGCTGCACTTCGTACATAGTCAAGCAATAAGATTCTACACAGCAATAATTCAAATAGAAAAAGAGACAGTAAGTGTCTTCGATGTTATTGCAGCCATTGAGAATTTGAAAACAATTTTGACAAGCAAGATTCAAGATTCCTTTATTCCTACAGCGGTTTGTACTAAATTAGTTAAACTTAAAGAAGAAAAAAAAGTATCTGAAAAGCAGATTATACAGTTCCGAGCCGACGCTGTTTCATTTTATCAGACTGCACTCAGTTATTTACAGAAATGGACAAAGTTAAGTTTTCAGGACCTGGATTCATATAGCTGGGTGACTTTAAACAAAACACCAGTATGGGTTGAAATTGAATCTTTGCTATTACTTGTTAATAAAATTACGACAACCCATCAAATATCTGAAAATGATATATACGACGAGTATGCTTGTATGAAAGTATACGTTACGGAAGGGAAAATTTCCGAATGGCAAAATAACCGAACTGCATCAATCCTAAGGTGGGTTGTGAAATGGTCTCTCACTTTAATAATCGTGAACTTCCATTTTCAAATTTACGAAAATTAGCAGAGTTCTTTTCCTGGCACAAATGCTTTTACGGAAAGAATATTTTTTTTAATGAATTGCTTTTGGACAAGTGACAAGACTCGACTTGAAATAGACACACTAAAAGCGATATTACTTAGTAAAGTTAATTATGAATAAAATTGTACAGAATTTTATAGAATGCTTCAAAACGAAAAAGACCTACTGAAAAAGATCCATAGTTCAGAAAAATATAAAAAGTTTTGTACTCAGTAATTCTGATTAAAAAAATTTGATTCATTTAAAAATAATACTGATTTTATTATATCCTTAATTAGTATTTGTTATGTACTATTTGTTATGGTCACCTTAAGTTTAGCCGCACGTCTGTAAAGACAGCTAAACCCGAATGATTCTAGTTCTAGGTATAGTGTTAGTTCTAGTTTTACACTTGCACTGTCACTAGAACTAATATTAGACCTAGAACTAGAAACATTCGGGTTTAGCCGCACGTCTCTAAAGACTGCTTATCCCGAAAGTTTCTAATTCTAAGTCTAGTGTTAGTTCTAGTGATAGTGTTACTTCTAGTTTTAGTTTAAATAACACCGGCCATGAAAGCCTTTGTACTTATATCAATATAATGTTTTGATTAGTGATAGAATAACAGGGGATGTAATGAAGCTATCGAGCGATAAGCGGGTGTATTCTCTTCGGATTCCATTGTCATCGGTAAGGCTTTTGTTTCCGATTTGCGTGTTTCGAAGGTTGATTTTCGTTCGGTTAGCCTTTGCTGTGGGGTAGCATAATTGGATAAAACGGGGCGCGTAAAGAGATCGAGACCGGCCTTTTCATTCCATTTTTCCGCCTCTCATTTTCGTAGGATTAGGCCCCTTATTTGTAGCCGGCCTGGGAGTTCTGAAAACTCTGAACGTAAATAAAAGTAATAGGGTCCCGGATCGTGAAGAAGAAGAAGGCCTGAGTCGGCAAAGATCCGGGATCTACTTCCCCGTTCGAAAGCCAAATTGCAAAACACTTATTGCCCGATTCTGGCGGAGTTAATTTAGAAAATTGCCTCGACGCTCCGGTCATTAAACGGGGTGCTTTGGCGGCGCCAAAAGCCGCAACGTTCCCTTTTTACTAGTGAGGGTCTTCGAGGAACAACCTTCTTAAATAATTATAAACCTCCATCTCGATTTACATATTCTCCAGCCACACTGTTGCACCAACATTTCCACTTGTATTCGCTTACGTAATTACTCCACGACCCGTCCCCGGACATTATCAATCCATTAGAACATTAAAGTCACCCTTTGATCAGGTTTACTCGCAAGAATGAACCTCCTATGCTTTGAAAACTGCATTATACACTGCACCGGATTTCTTTTCCATCGAAACCTAAAAACATGTTTTAATCTCAATAATCAAATTTTATTGTTATTAACATCGATTATGTACTTGTTTTGTTTTCACGAAGCAATCGATAACCATGGAAAACCCGGGTAAATAATCCTCTTATCGCTTGATGGATCTCCACTTTTCCGTTTTTCCCCGTTCACAATCAATAGATTTCGAACGAAAAAATATGTTTTTTTTTGTAGGTTTGATAAGCGGGGCTTTCAGTAATAATCTCTTAACCTATCAATTGGGATCATCAACCAGAGGAAAACTGTCATCGGAAAATTCTAATCGAGGGCATCAAAATCTAATAAAATTATCAAGTGTCTTTAACATCTTATTATTTTATTATTTAATTTAAAATGATAACAAAAAAATATTCGTCACATTTCCTTAGTTGTAAATAAATGATGTAAAAAGCGATTGTAATTTAAATAGGGCTATCTTCCGATTTACAAACGCTATTTTTTATAAGCTTTTAACTGTAACATTCAAAATAAACAAATAAAAAATCATTGTACATATCATAAAAATTTTGTTTTAATTCTTTTAACTCACATAGTTTTAAACCAAACCCCTCTCTAAGCCAATTATTTCCGAAGGAAAATCACGGTCCGTTGCACGTCCCAGTTGTCATCGCCTCAAGCCCCCATACAACAAAGGGGTTGGTGTTTTAAGAGAGGAAGGAGAAGAGAACCTGCGGTCGTGGCGCGGAAGGACTTGGCGTTTGTTCTAATGGTGGCGCCCCTCGCAATAAGGCGATTTATATGTAAAGGTTAAGAGCCGCCAAATGAATTTCATTAGCGACCCCCACGATTTCGAATTCCTGGCACGCGCCCTCCTGTTCAGATAGCGAGGAAGTAAAAGTGGCACCAATCAACAAACCGTCCGGACCTTCTTTGTATGGAACGGTTTTGGTTTCCGCGCCAAATTGCTTACTACGAGAAATTGCCCGAGATAAAAATGTTCTCTTTATGTCTTTTAGTTTTTTTCTTTCCACACTTTTTTTTATAACTTCATCTACAGCTATTTAACCACTCAAACGTGTCGCGTGTTCAAACTTTAAAATCTTTAAATTGTTCTAGAAATAAAGTAATTTGTATTTAAATTGGTGTTTTCATGTTATTCATAAAAGTTTTTTTAGTAACAAATAATTTTATTTTTCTATACATTTCTTTTTTATTTTGACACCATTCTTATCCTGGCGCTTTAGAAACCAAAATTATAGCTCAAATATGTAGACAGTTAGAAGAATTTTAAAAATGAAGAACGCCTTTTAAAGGACATACTTTAAAGGTATGGTTTGATGGACATCCAATGGGCCAACAAGACTTCCTTCATCCATGTGCCTTTTATTACAAGTTTGATGTAACAAATAGCCAGGAAACTGAAGAAGGATAACATCATGGTGAGACATGGGTTGGGTCAAAAGCAGAATAATTCATCGCAACATAAAAATCAGAATATATATGACCACATTCTGGGCCTAATGCAGGAAAATAATAAATGGAGACCACAGAGAAGATGGGATTACACAGTCGATGTGGACGCAAAATAAGTGCTAGGATGTAGGAATTGGAACAGAGAGACGAGAGAGAAGAAGAAGAAGATATAGGTTATTCAGCAAATTGCAGAACGATAACAAAGCACAAATTCTTTGTCAAAAATGAGTTAAATACGCTGTTGCATTCAATAAAATAGTAGCCATGAGTTGGTGCAACAACGAGACAAACGGAGCTGCCTCAACCTTTGACTTATAGCAACAACAAGGCAGCTCCTGTATGAGTTATACTTAAAGACATATGAACCTGCCATATATAATGACATGAAAACTAAACAAAAAACGAACAAACCACCTTGAGTATTAAGCTTGTGGTCTTTTACGATTTATTTTATAGATATTTTAAATCAAACTTCAAAAACTATTCTTTTAGCCACCCTAGAAGTGACACGTGTCAAACTTTTGATAGATTAGAAAATAAGGTTAAAAATAAGGAGTTAACCGACGATCAAAAGAATGAGCTAGAAACTGAAAAAAAATGGAACCTCAAGTTGTACCTCAATAAATGCCAAGATTTTATGATGATCTAAAAATTCAGCAGATTTTGGCGAGAAATGATCCCATACTTGCCTAAAGTCCTTACTGGCGATGCGTTCTACTTAAGACAACTCTGGATTGTATGTGAAGGTTGAATTATTTTTTACTTTATCGATGTTATATGTTTATTTCATTCTCTACATGTTTCGAGGATACGAGTCCTCATCTTCAGGAAGAATTCGTTAATCTCATAAATATAAACCTCACCATGCTTCACTTCTGCTATTTGTAATCACTGATGGTTTCCGATTATTTCTGTAATTTTTAGGATGCATCCTCCATTACCAAGATAAACACGCCACAACAACAAGAATACATCAAAAAATTACAGAAATAATGAAATATGAAAGAAACATATAACATCGATAAAGTACAAAATAATTCAACCTTCACATACAATATATATACACGATGTTAAGAAAAGAAAACAACAATTATAACAACTCTGGATGTTTAATTTCTGTGTATATTCAGACAAATTCGGAAAACCATATTTTTATATGTATCATGAAGCTCAAGGTAAAAAGACACTAAATGAATCAACAAGTTTTTTGCATAACTTTATTACAAAAAACAACGAAATTAAACATACTGGAGGAAAATATTGAAACAACTGTGCTGCGCAAAATAAAAACTTTTCTCTTGTTTGTTATTTATGTTCATTGGTCCAATCTGGCAGAATCAAAAAAATAGTTCATTGTTTTCCTGAGTCTGGCCACAGTTTTCTGCCTTGTGACCGATCTTTTGGAGTCGTTGAAAGATATATGAGAAAAATAGAGTAAAACATCTAATAATGTAAAGGAGAAATTTGCTATATCAAAACTCAGAGTAATATCTTACAGCAGTGAACTAAAAGGAATCCAATGTTCAATATCTGCTAGTTTGCTGATTCTTAAGGATTTCCAAATAGCCAGAACTAATGGCCACCTTTTAGAACCTTCAGCAACTGCATATTCTACACCACTGCCAAATATTAATGTAATGACATTAACAAATAAGTATGTACCGGAAAATGATTTACTATTTTACAGATATTTAAAATCTGATAATGTGACGATAACGCAAATGAATATAATATAACGATATATAAATAACTGTTTAAATAAATTATTGGTTTTGTAAATCTGTTCCAACATTTATACAATATTAATAAAGTATTTTTTTATAAAAACAAATTGTTGAAAGTTTAATTTTACTAAAAACGATTATAATCAGTATGAAACTTTGATTTCGGAAATTTTTGGTGCCTCCTGAACAATTTGTTAAAATGGAGCTGACTCGTTGTTGCTGCACAGTCTTCAATTTCCTCTGATTAAAGAGTTAGGGGAATACAATTTCATTTTCAAAATAATAACCGCATATAAAATAAATGTTAATACAGACATTATGAAACAACTCATCGCATTTTTCGTTAACTGTGTATGTCGTTATAAAATTGTCTCCAGATACAACAAGAACTTCTAGAAATTTCATGTAGTGACGAATATAATAGGGAAATTGAAGCTTGTTTTATATCTTGGAATATTGCTCGTAAAAGACGCCCGAATATAGTATGTAGAAGGAGAATTTATTAAATTATTAAAATTTATTTAAACAGAACTCACTAAACGTAATTAACGTTTTGAAGCTGTAAAATTGCAGACGCTAAACTACATGATACTACAATATAAGATTTTAGAAAACGCTGTAATTATGTTTATGTAAGAGTTAAACTTTTTTCATTTTCTTCTCAATTTTGTTTTGAATGGATACATCTTCTGTTTCAGTAGACAATGATTTACGCTAGTTTCCATTTTTGTTATTATCAACATCAAACGTTCCCGTCGTCGGAACTATATATGTTAACAGTAAATGTGAATATTGCAATTGACATACAGAGTATCGATTTTGAAACAAACAATAATTAATTAATAATTCTGCAACAATTAAATTCCATGTCCACATCGTGTCTAGGTGTAATGATACACCAACATAGTTGAACTGTTTTAAAAAAGGTAAGGTTTCATTAAGTACCAATCTGTTAATAAGATGCCTTGTTCGATTTGACCAGCATGATGTAAAGGGTGATAATAAAACTAATTACCGAAAAAATTGAGCTCAATATTGGAGTGCGGGAAGTTAGCCCCCCATTTTTTTATTTTTAAATTTTTTATTGTTGTTCTAGATTGTTCTAGAGTTGTTCTACATTGTTCCAAAGGGGCAAATCGAAAAAATAAAAACACCGCGAGAAAACCGAAAAAACGGGTTTTTTGGCTAGCCCCCCATTTTTGGAAAAATCAAATTTTCTTTGTTGTTCTGGGTTGTTCTAGTTGTTCTAGTTATTGTTCTAGAAAATCAAAATTATGGGATACAGCATTACGAAGTTATAACTAAAAATAGGTTTGGCCGCCGAAATGTCTAGTTGATTGCTGTGACCATAGTTTTTCTATTATCAATTCCATATTACAAATATATACTTATTATAGCTAACGCAATCTGGAACAGCTATTATTTTCACTAGAACAACTTTCTAAAGGGCACTTTACTCTTTGAAAATTAAAGTTTTNAAATACAACAAAAGACCACTTTACTCAATATAACTTCTATGAGGAACGATAACAATACAAATAATAATATTATTTATCGTGCCATCACCTACCCAGGAAAAATTTCCCATAAAATTCAAAAAATATATAGACAATATAACATCTGTTTATCCTTCAGATCTAGCAACACCACCAAGAATAAAATAGTTAATAACAAAGACAAAACAGACTTTTTACAAAAAAGTGGTATATACCAACTAGAATGTGACACTTGTGGAGCCATATACATAGGAGAGACTGGTAGAAGCCTTATCCAGAGAATCAAAGAACACAAAACTAGAGAAAGCTCAAATTTTGGAAGACATCTTATGTTTAATAATCACAACTTTGATGAAAGGAAAAATAGCAAAATAATACATCAAATGAACAAGAGCCTTCACATGGAACTACTAGAACTCTACGAAATTAATAAGTTTAAACATGACAACGCAAACATTGAAATACTAAATGAACAGATTTTACCACAAAAAACACCACTATATTGCTGTTTAAAAAACCCATTCCCAAAATAATGCACTTTTCTCATCAAAAGAGAGAATCGAGTTTGGTGGCAACTCGATTACTGCATTGATGAGAACCCATGCCCCAAATCCCCTTAATCTTGAATTTTCCTTCGAATGTACCTCCCATGTTAATTTTGTTTCATTTTGAAGATTTATGCATTTTATAGTTTATATAAAGAAAAGATAGAATTATTTATTCCAGTTGGGTGATGTTTAGATTTGTTGTGGATGTGCAAATTTTTGTCGTTTTAACTTTGAATATTGATTGCGAAAACAATAGTATAATTTGATTTGTTTTTATCTCAAATTTTATAAATTAAATACAGATTCCTATTTTATCAATTGTTCATAACCTAGAAATAACTCATTTGCCCAACTTGTCACACATATAATAATTGGCGAGTTTATTTATTAATATTAGTTTTTGTGATAGATAGTTGTAGTTTAGTGCATGAATAGATATAATGATAAGCAAACATTCACTGCCCAATGTTTATAGAAACTAGTTAACGTAAGTGTTTTTTACAATTAATAGTCCCTCTTTTGTTAACCTATAAAAATATAATTATGAATAATTTTTATACTTACCTTTGTAGAGGTCTCTGAAGACGGTAATGTAACCGAAACTAGTAAGACAAATATATAAATAATCACCATAGTATATAATTTTAATTAATATTTACCTTAATTCTACAACGGTGATATGGATAAACAAATACATACTATTTTTAGATATAACTTCGTAATGCTGTAACCCATAATTTTGATTTTCTAGAACAATAACTAGAACAACCCAGAACAACAAAGAAAATTTGATTTTTCCAAAAATGGGGGGCTAGCCAAAAAACCCGTTTTTTCGGTTTTCTCGCGGAGTTTTTATTTTTTCGGTTTGCCGCTTTGGAACAATATAGAACAACTCTAGAACAACCTAGATCAACAATTAAAAATTTAAAAATTAAAAAATGGGGGCTAACTTCCCGCACTGTCAATATTGACCTTAAAATAATATTAGTAGAAATTTCAACGAAAACTTTAATCATTAATCTTCAAATGGCTAGAAAAAAAAGTTTATGTTAGTCAAGTGATAATGATGTTATTTCAAATTGTGTTGAAAACGAAGTTGATCGTGTTGAGTCGTGGTTCTATTGAAGGGTAGGCGGCCTGCGGTTTCATTAATTATAGTCGTTGGTTCAATTTTTCGAACGTCTCCGTAAAATAGGTAGCAATTGATGGACGAGCTTTTCTCTCTCGTTCGTTGTGAAGCGGGCGCGTTCGATCATCATCCGGTGCGCACGTTCAAACCAGTTCGCGTGATAAAGGTCTATCAGCGAACTGTCAACAAAGAGCAGTTTATTACCTGTTTCCATAGCGCGCAGCTAATTCCGGCTCGAAACACAAAAATCGACGATGAAGAAGAAAGGGTTTTAAGGGTAAATATAAAAATAAAACTCTTCCAGCTGTATAAAAAACTATTTATTCATTATTATCCTTCCACCGCATATTTTACAAGTTACTCATCGAGTTTCGGATCATTATTATACAAAACGTGAACGGATTTTTTCTGTCTAAGCAAACTACAAAGCTTTATTTATTATTTTTTTTTTGGAAAATCAGTACGCTTTGTACGTTTGATATGTCTAACGTCTATTAGATTAGTTATTTTAATTTTTACAGGGAATCATTGCAATTTAATTAAAAATTGAAAGGAACAATTGGACCCGACCTAAATAGTTATCGTTTTTTCCTTAAGCTATAACACACCAAATGTACTGAAATCATTAAGAAAAAACCTTTTTAACTCCCCGTTAAAGTCTCATTAGTGGGATCACGTCGTCGCAATCCGTCCATTCGCAAGGATTAAAAGCCCTTTCTTCGACAATGAAGACGAGATCCTTAGGAAACGGCGTCGTTTATGCCGCTTTAGATATCCCCTTGTATTGTCCTGCTGCGGTTTAGGGTTGGGGGCGAAAAACGACCGACAGAATAACGACGGGGGGATAATGCCGGGGACGAAAAGGATAAAGAGGGTTGAAGGAAAAAAAAAGGAAAAACCACTTGTAGACGTAGGAAGTAGACATATGTATATAAAAACGTCGGCCGCCCCGCGGACTTCCAGATTTATTATTGTAGTAAAAAGAAAGGCAACGGAGCCAAAAGCAGGAGCACGAGCACTACGATGCCTAGGGGCTGATTTATATTCCTGGGGGCCGAATTAAAGTAGTCCTCTTCTTGATAGAGGGAGTCCGCTTGGTCTTCCGAAGCAGCTACGAGAACCGAAAAAAAAAATAAAGGGGGAGATTATTATCAGTTTTAGGAGATGGAAATTTTAATTAAAAAAAATCAATTTAATCAAAAATTTTTTCAATAAACAAAAACCATCGAATAAATCCCAAAAAGGAATTGTTTTAAGAACTAAAACTTGGTTCACTTACCCCCAGTTCGAGAAGAGTCGGCCGTTACGTCATTATACTTCTTCCGGTACTTCCCTGTAACAAAAGAGCGAGTCGAGTTAACGGGCGTAGTTTCGAACGAAACTGGGGGTAGTTTAAAAGGCGAACGGTCGAGGAAGGGTGGTAAAGAAGCGGCAAACGGACGACGATGTAACCCATAAATAATTTCCCTAAACTCTCACACCCTCAAGTTGTTTCTCTTCAAATACAACGAATTTATAAATCAAAACAATTTTCTTTAAAAACCCAAAAATAATCATAAAAGAAATTGTGAGAGGGAAAAATTGAGGCGTCGGAAAACTCTTCCTGTTTCCGATGGAGGGCTTAACACCTCTCGACGTGCGAAAAATGGTTGGCTATCACGATTTCCGGAACTCGGGGCGGTCGTCGCGATGCCGATCCGGGAACTCAGAACGATATTCTACGCGGCAGGGCACCTTCCCCGAAAAAAAGAAATTCTCACTTAGCGCGTATTTAGTTGTAAATGCCCGGATGGCACGCGAGCCAACTATTTATTTCACTTAGTTCGCGAAACCGCGATGTTACCCCGCGTGAGACCTATTACTCCTCTTCCGTTTTTGTACCTACTTTCCGCTTTTGAACGAATACGAACAATGGCTTTCTGCTTGTTGTTGTTTTATTGACCTAAAACGGTAAACTAATTCGGAATAATGAGGAGTTGTAAAGTACTGAATAAAGTACTAAATAAAAAATAGACATTATCGTACCTTTTTTGGAAGTTCCATTAGATCTTTTACTCGGTTTTGGAATGGCTGAAAGCAAAAAAAAAATTCACACTACGAGGAATAAATAAATCAAAAAAGTAGGATTCAACACCGAGCTTGGTGTAAGCAAAGAGTAGTAAGGGGGGCTCGCAAACGAGCAGTTAATTGTAAATAACGAAGTCGGGCCAAGTCCCGCTGCGTTTAATTCAATACAATCTAATGGAAAGGGGGCACGGTAGCGACGGACCCGGGGTTTTGATAGCTGCAAAACGCCAGCCGGAGTGTGTAACTTAATTTGTCAGCAGAACAGTCAAACTTAGTGCGGGCGTATTCACTTTTGTACGTCCTTTTCCTCCGCCTTCGTAAGCTCCTCGAAGACTTTTCGTCTTTTTAGTCTCAAAGTTTCTTCTTATAACTTTCTTCTAACTTTATTGATACTAAAATTGGTCATAGAGCTTAGAATAACGGTTTTCGATGTTGAATCAATATGAATCCCGGGATCCCGGTATTGATACCAGCATTAACTTTTTTTTCTAAAACTGTAAAAAAGAAATAAAAAACGAAAATTTTATTTATTGCACTATAAAACTTGAAACTATATAAAATATTCATATACAGTGTGACCCGATTGAAAGCGGACCCCCTCGTAAAATTTGTATTTATTATCCGATTTCGATAATTTTTTTTTTAATTGTAGAGCGTAAAAAACTGTACCTTAGAACAAAGAGTGATATTTTTCTTAAAAAAACCAAGGCCTACTATTTCACTTTTTAGGTGCTAAAAATGAAGAAATCATATTAGGAAATTTTTTACAAAAAATCTGAGTACACCACTGCATTAAGCACCTTTTGAAATGGGCATATTCCAAATTTCATCAGAAATGGTTACAAATTAACACCGTTACAGATAATTGAAAAATACAATATTTTATGAATTTATTTGATCAGATGGAGTAAACCATGACAAAAAAGGAAATAAAATACAGCCAATAATACAAAAAACTATTTACATTTGTAACCATGGAAATAAAAAAATAGTTATCTAGTAAACCATGGAAATAAAAAAAAAGAATTGAATTCTATGAAAGTGATTTAAAGCATTACTTCTGTTAGTTTTGTGCCTACAAAATTTTATAAAAAGTGTGCAATTTAGTGGTGTAATTATGGAACGACTAAGTGTTAGACACAAAGTTGAAATTGTACGCCTTGTTGGCGATAATATTCTTTCGAAAAGAAAAGCGGCTATAGAATTTAATAACAGGCATCCAGATATGCCTCCGGTTAGTGCTAGCACCGTTCACCGGGTAAATAAGGTATTCAACGATACAGGCAGTGTATCAAAACAAATTCTAAAAGTTCAAAATCCACGCCGGGAAATTAGAAATAATAATCAAATAGTGGAATATTTTCATAATAACCCTCATTCGAGTTTGAGAACGGCTGCCATAGATTTAAATATTCCAAGAGAATGTATTAGAAGGTGCCTTACAAAAAATAAAATTAAACCCTATAAACCAAAATTTCTACACACTCTTGAACCAAGAGACGAAGAGAGAAGACTAGAATTCTGTTTATGGGCTCAAGGTGAATACTTGGAAAACAGAAACTTTTTAAGGGAAATTTTGTTTAGCGATGAGGCCACGTTTACAACAAATGGCGTGGTGTCATCGCAAAATTCAAGGTATTGGTGCACAGAAAATCCAGAGTGGATCATCAACGCAAGGCGACAGTATTCGCATAAAATAAATGTGTGGTGCGGAATACTTGACAACAGAATTATTGGTCCATTTTTCTTTGAGGGCAATTTAAATTCAACAAAATTTTTGTATTTCTTAAGAAATGAGTTTTCGAATGCGCTAAACAATTTACCACCTCTGGTATGTGCGAATATAAAATTTCAATTAGATGGGTCTCCCGTGCATAACGCAGTAGTGGTAAAGCGTTGGTTAAATGAAAATTTTGAAAATCGATGGATAGGAAGAAATAGTCATCTTATTGAATGGCCGCCAAGATCTCCTGATTTGACACCACTCGACTTTTTTCTTTGGGGAATCCTTAAACAGAAAGTTTACAGGTCAAGGACACAGTCGCTAGATGAACTGCGTGCTAGAATAGTTCAGGCATGTGCAGACATTACCCCAGAGCAACTGAGGAATGTAACAATGAATGCACGAAGAAGGTACAATAAATGTATCGAACTTAACGGTGGATTGGTGGAAGCAACAGACATTTAACTAGTTTTTATTTTCTATTAATACCTTGAATGTTGTTTTTTTCTTCAATTTTTTGAATTTCTGTTAAATATTGTTAAATAGTTTTGTATTATTCTCTGTATTTTATTACATTTTTGTCATGGTCTACTAGATCAGATGAGATTAATTTATAAAAAATTATATTTTTCAATTATCTGTAACGGTGTTGATTTATAACCATTTTTGATGAGATTTGGTATATGCCCATTTCAGATTTTTTGTAAAAAATTTCCTAATATGATTTCTTCATTTTTAGCACCTAAAAAGTGAAATAGTAGTCCTTGTTTTTTTTAAGAAAAATATCACTCTTTGTCCCAAGATACAGTTTTTTACGCTCTACAATTAAAAAAAAAATTATCGAAATCGGATAATAAATAGAAATTTTACGAGGGTGTTCCGCTTTCAAACGGGTCACACTGTATATAACATTTCTTTTTCAATTACTTGTTCAAAAGAAAATTGTTTTGGTTTTGGAACAGTTGACAACGACTTCTTTATGGCTTTCTGCAATGAGATGGAGGACTAGATGATTCTAGTGGTGGTACAATGATTGCTTCTGCGTCTGATGGTCTGATGGTTCTTCTGTAGTTGCAAGTGAGAGTCGTTTGCTTAATGAAACAATGCGCTTCGTTAGGGATACTTTACTTATGCGTTGCAGTAACTCATTTTCTTCTTGATGTCCACTTTGCAGGTACTGCAGTATTTGTGATGTAGGTATCTGTAATTCTTTGCGAGATTCCAAGTTGTAATGCATTTAGCAATTCCAAAGCAATTGAACTTACTTGTTCAGACAGCGTATCTACAATGAACTTTAGTGAAGTCTTAGCAGTCAAAAGATTTGAATCTCTTCGGCATAACGCTACTACTGTCACTTTTATAGGCGCCAAACTGCTAATAAGTGCGAATAATAAATTAATTTCATCTTCTGAAAATTTTATATCGCATCCTACATTAATTAACGCTTTTTGAATGCAATGTTGTGAGTCACAAAATTTCTCTAATATAACCAACAAACTGCTCAGAGAAATTTCCCTCCCAAATTGTTCTTTAATTTATTTTTGTAAAAATTTTTCATTTTTTGTTAGGGAGCTTTTAAACAACTTAACTACCTTTCGTATTTTTTTCACGCCAGTTATTTCACTCAACCCTAGAAATAACTCTGAACTCATGGTCTATGATGACAACATCCATATACTCTCCTTCTACTTCATCATCGGAACCGTTATACTCTTGTTCAACTATATTTTCTACATTTTCATGTGTACTTTTGGTCTTATAGAAAATATCTGTTATGGCTAGATTTATACCATCAGCCAAGCAAAACTGATGTTCAGCATCTATTAGTTTTCCTAATTTTATCATAACCATTTCACCATCAGTGGTGATACTAACTATGTCTTCATTCATTTTTAAACCAAAAGTTGCCAATCTGAACTTTTTTTCAACTCATGATAAACATTTTCTGCTGGCACTAGAGTGTTCATTAATATGAATGTATAGACGGTTACGAACTGAAGTCTGAAGTATATCAGAAGTCATTTTATCTTTAATTTTCTCAGAGTGCCGGAGAACCGCTCTCCGTATTGCAGTTGAAGTATTTGGAATATCTGCAAATCCTCTTTCCCGTAAACCTTCTCTGATGTTTTGAGATGTAATAAAGATATGAAATGGCAAGCCAGCTTGAGCAGTCATACTTCTGAAAGTTCAGCATTCTTCTTGTTTTTGAAATAACTGGTAATCAGTTTTAGTTTCTTGGAAATATCTATCAGTATCGCTGGTAGTGGGTTTACATCTTTTCTTCATATTAAATCTATGAATTGTTTCCAAATGGGTATGAAGACCACTAGTTGATTCACCAATACATTTTTTACATTTAGCAATTTGCCCATTGACCTCTATTAGGAAATGATACCACGCTGATGTTTCATCATTCCCTTTTCTATGATCGACAAGAAGTTTTTTTTATTCATAACCAGCTAATTAAAAAAAACTTAAACAATTTATTGTAACTTTACTTACTTTATGAGTTGTAAATTGAATGGTTGTTAATTGTGCCTTCTAGTTTGTAACAAGTCCTAACTGGAATTGTAATACAGCGCGTTAGCGTGCCGTTTAGCAAGCACTACCACTACCCCAGAAAGCCGGATCGGTACATTAATACCAAATACCGGTATTTACGTATAAATACCGGTTTTAGATACTGCATCAATTTTGTCCGAGATCCCGGATTTCGAAATCCCGGAATTCCGGTATTGTAAGCTCTAATTGGTCATCAAAAGAAATCATAAAGACTTGGTTTTATATTCATCATTATATTATTTGACTAATTCATAGATTTTAACTCCGCATATATGGTGTTTTTGTAAGCCGGCATAATTTTAATCACAAAACTAGGCTATGAAAACAAATTGTAACTCCAAGGTTGTAGCCCCGAGGCGCTACAATTGAGACCCTTAAAAATAAACCATCATAACGTGTCATCACGCGCAAAGCCCAGTTTTAAAGATTTAAAAAAATTTTTACTCACCATATAAATGGATACTCCCATCTGTATCTCCAAGACCATTCTTAGATACACATTTATAAGATCCATAATCTGAGGCAATCACGGATTTGATGGTAAGTTTCATATGAACTTTGTAGTTATTCTCGATAAGGGCCAGTTCGTATTTTCCATCTGAAACAAGCAAAATGCACTCAAAAAAATAAATTTGAATAAAATAAATAAGGATATTTTTTTGTTTTGTAAAAACGATGCTGGGTCGTCGAAGGGTTCGTTTAACAAACCACCCCGATCCACCCCGACCGAGGCCGGGTGGTCCATTTTGTATATTTTAACGGGTTAATCCGTGGGCTCGTAGTTCCATTTGGGAATTATTTTCATACATGAAAAATTTCATGAATAAATACGCCCGGTTTAAGATAATCCCGCCGACCGCTAGCTGGTTGATTTTTTTTTTATTTGTTATTCGAGGTTGCTTTTTGGGGTCAGTGCTCTCCGAAACGAATTGGTTTTTAGGGCATGAGACCGTCATTTCTTTATGAATAACTAAATTAAGCTAGTTTATACGTTTTGTTTTGCTTTAATTTGAATTTACATTCGCCGTTGGTATCATAATAATCCCCGTACTCATTATAACACCTCAGCTAACATTTTAGCAAATTAGGTTGGTTTTGCGACCGACATCTTTTGTCCCACCTGGCGAAGCTTGCGCACATTTCGGCTTGTTATGCAGGAATTAACCGCGAACCCTGTCCTCTACCTTTCCGCTCGCAGAGTGTTCGGTGAAAATTTAACAACCGTAATTAGTGAACGTTCGAAACTGCAATTGCCACCCGCTCCCGCGAGGGGAGTTTGGTTGTTGACGTAGGGGGCCGGGTACACATGCCTTGGGGGCATAACTCACGCGTTCGTTAACCGGCTCGTCGTTAATTTTGAATTCAATTACTGCCCGATAAAGCAAACTACGAAGCAATTCGTCTGAACGACTTTGGAGGTACGCTAGGTCCAAAACGTTAAGAACCACCGATGACGCTGCCGACCCAACACTAATTAGCCGTTTGTGTTTGTGTTTGACTATTAACTCGGATTCTCCCTCAGGGTGGTTCCAATTCACGTATGCATATGTTGGTACGTGTGTGCGAATACGTCGTTTCAAATCGCTTCGGGCTAACGATGCAACCAATTCATTTGTATTAGAGTAATTGAGTTGAAATTTTAACCCGAATGTCATCTAAATCTATACTCTATTTTTTAATTCGAAGGAGTAAAATGAAACGTTGTAGTTTTTCACCAGCACTATCACTAGAACTAACACAAGTCTTCAGAGACGTGAGGCTAAACCCGAATGTTTCTAGTATTATATGTTTCTAATATCGGGTTTAGCCGTGCGTCTGAGGACTTTCTAGTTTTAAAGAGTTATCCATGTTGCAAGAAAAATGATCAAATAAAAACCATATAAAAACTTCTAACTTGCGTTTATTAATATAAAGTCGTACTAGTTTCGGGTTACCCCATCATCAGCGACAAAGTCAATGAAGCTATAAAAGGTGCAGACTGGAAATCAGGAGAAAGTAAAGCATTTTGCTATCTGATGGATAAACAAAATGAAGATGAAGTTGAAAATACAAATGGCGACGTTAAAAATGTGGAATGTTAAAAAATTAGAAATTCGAATAAATCTTTAAGATCGTATTAAAGATGTGTTGGTGGGATGAGATGAGGCGAGACTGTCAGTCTCGCCTCATCTCATCCGATAGCAAAATG